AGGCCTGGGGCTGACGAGTTTCCGTCCCCGCTCGAATTGTGTGGTTGTTGAGTGTTTTTTAAATTGTTGTAGTTGTTTGTCCGTTGTTTTTTCTCCTGTGTGTATTCCCCCCCCCTTACTTTGGTTTGTGAGCCGCCCTGAGTCCCTCTGGGAATAGGGCGGCATAGAAATGCAATAAATCAAATCAAATCAAATCAACAGGTTGCTGGGAAAGAATGTCAAGCCCAAACAGGCAACCTATAGTTCACAAGCAACAAGAAATCCTTGGCAGCCTTCTGTCTGAAGGCTTCCTGGTAGCCTACCTAGCAACTGATTGTCTATTGAATAATGGCTGTCAGCCTGATTAGCAGGCTTCCTGGGCAAACTGTTCCACTGTGTTGGATTGACTGTGTTTACATATTTATGGCTCCTAACCACAACTTGTAACTCATTGAAGCAATTGACCAAAGCTGTTATTGCCCAAGGCTGCATCCAAGAGTCAGAAGCTAAGCTGAGAGGATCTTAGTTAAATAACTCTGAATGGAGTGTGTCCCAACCTTGGGAACTTGAAGATGTGTTGACTTCAGCTCCCATGGTGGCTGGAGAATATGAAGTCCATATATCTACAAGTTTGTCTGATCCATGGTGGCGCAGTGGTTAGAGTGCAGTACTGCAGGTTACTTCTGCTGGCTGAATGCCAATTTCTTACCTCATTTTTGAGCTGGAAATTATTCTCATTGGCTGTTGAAAGTTTCTGCAGAAGCTTTGCCTCACGATCAGAAGAATTCTGCAAAAGAAGAGATGCATCAGTCAGCCTTTCTTCCTATTTTCAATGTCCTTCCTTGTTTGATCCAAACCTTGGCTTCACACCCTTTTCCCACTAATACTGGTCTTGTGTCAAGCAAAGACATCTGTTTCAAATAGTGCCAGATTCCTTGCTCGATTATATACTCTCCCTCCTCAGATCATCCCCAGTCTACCTTCTTGTGTTGTTGAAGCTCCTTGGCGTGGCTCTCTATCAGTTTTGTTTGCTCCTCCTTTGCTGTGCTTAGAAGTTCTCCCAGGCTGCACACCTTCTGCTCTGATAGTGCCAAAGCTGCCTCTGTCATCTGGAGTCTGCAAGGGAGCAAGTTTCAAGTAAGAGCTACTTTCAAGGCTGCCCTTGAGATTTTCTGAGCCAGCAGCTCAGCAACAAGAGCACCTGCACTGCAAAGCAAGACTTTTGCCTCAGAGTAACCAGAATGGTAAAGGAGCTAAGCAATCCTTAAGTTCGTATCTATTGTCAAATCTACTCATTAACCTCACCCTCTGGATCTGGAGTGTCAGGCTGACCAAAGCAGATCCAGAATTTGTGTTTCTTGAAGACTTTCCGTAATACATGTACCTGAGATCGAAATCTTTGGTCACTGATTGAAATGGTCATTAAGCAAGATGTCATGTGACCAATTCTCTCAAATGACATTGTGATCTCCTGGGTTGTTAAGTGGAAGGAGGAAAAGAACTGCCTGCAGAAGGGACTCACGTGGGACTAAAACTCTACGATGGGCAGCCTTTCTGCTCTCAAAGAGCCTGACTGAAAAAGGTCCACACCAAATCCAAGCAGGATTCAGGCACAGAATATGTGCACCAATGGGACATTGGCAGGAAGCCCCCCAGATACAAAAGGACTCCCCGTGCTGCATCTGTCCCAAAATCTAAGTAGGGTTTTGGCAGTGTTTGCAAGCACAAGGAGTTTGCAGCCAGCCCCCAGAAACCAGAGGAGTCCTCTTGTCTTGTCAGGTGGCAGTGTCTTAAGATCTTCCCTACCGGCTCCCCCACTGACTTAACTGGGGAAGTTGGCAGGGAAGACAGCAAATGGCGATCCACATGATCGTGGGAGGATTGTAAGTATACAATAGTTGCCAAGCACCTAGATTGTAATCACATGATAGTGGGGCAGAGATGGTATTCAGCCAGTTCTGACAGTTTCTGGAGAACTGATAGCAGCAATTTTGAGTAGTTCGGAAAACAAGCAAATAGGCTGGGCCCTCCCCCGCTGCCTCCAAGCTGATTTTCTTTTGTTGCCCTGAACAGGAGAACGGAGCTGGAAAGCAGGGTTAGTGGGGAGGGGAGGGAATGGGTATTTTGCAGTATCCTTCCCCTGCCACGGCCACAAAGCCACGCCCACAGAAGCGGTAGTAAAAAAAAAAAATTGAATCCCACCACTGCAGTGGGAGCACTGGAGTGGCTATAACGATGGGCACATATATCCCTTCATTCAGCACCTTGTAAATCTGAATGGTTGCTAAATACATAGATGCGCTACCTGCAGGTATGTACATAGGTGAATATCTGCTTTACACTGCATTGAATGAATTATTGTGTTGGTGGCCACATTTCCGAAGTATACTACAAGTCAAGTTTTGCATTTGAAAAAGTGCCTCCTAACAACAGGAGCCTGACTTTTTTCTCTCCTCTTCTCAAATTCTGTCACCCATTCTTACAATGATGGAATACGTTCCCCATTTCCCGCTGGCCTCCCTCCCCATATGTATATTATTTTATATTTGTACTTAGGATTATGGCTGAGTAAGTCTGCTTCTCTTTTATACAATTACTGAATTTTGCCATTGGGCTACTCAGTCAATTGTCCTCTCTGACTTTATAACTGTTCCTTCCTCTGCTTCCACAATTTTCCATTCATTTGAATCATGAAATGGGGGTGCCAGATGGACCATTCCAATTTGGAATCAAATCTGAGTTGGGACTGTCATCAGCAACATTAGCCTGCTTACTCAAACCACATTGCAAAACTGTTCTCCGTACTTTGCTTTGACAGAATTCATCACCGAATAGCGCTCATTCAAGGCCTCTTGTAGACGCTCAACTCGTGCTGCTGATACCCTGCAAGGAGAGCAAAGGGGGATATCCATGCATAAGGGAACATTCCGTGGGTAGAGTTTGCACTGAAAGTTTGTCCTCACAAGACAGGATCCCTTTGGGCAAAATATGAACCAGTACTAGTAAAAAATATTTTCTGCAGTTTATATAGAGTGCTCTCCCCTCATCCTGAGCAAGCAGGATGGTGTAGATGGCTGATCTCTTTCAGGTAGCTGCCAAACAATGGTGTCCTTATTTACTAATAATTAATAACCCAGAGTTGCCCAGGTATTTATTTATATGGGGAAAATGTCTGGACCAAATGTAATTTCTAATGTTGGATTTTCCACCTTACCAGAGGGAGCATCCTTGTGGCATACTGTGAAACCGTCACCATGGCAACTCCACTGTGCTATACAGTAGAAGCCATTTTACGGCAGTACCATAGAAGCCATTTTACGCCACAACAGGCTGTATCTTAACAGAACACACCCCTGAGGGGGTTTAGGGATGTCTTACCCCCACAGTATTTGTTTCCAGAGGCTAAGTCATCTGTATACCAAGTTTGGTTGAAATTGCTCAAGGCATTCCAGATTATGCTGGAACGAATGAACACACACACACACAGACCCATTTATATTTATATATATGTTTATGCTACAAATGCTACACACACACACACACACGTTTATATATGTTTATATATATGTGTATATATATCTGTATGTATGTGTGTGTGTGTGTGTGTGTGTATATATATATATATATATATATATACAC